TTTATTATCTCTATATGCTTGAAACAACAAAACACTGCAAAACTCTAGAATCACACATAAAAACCAACAAAGATAAATGAGATATTTTATACTCCTTGACTAATACCTGACTATTAACCAGTACAGTTAGGAAATACGGCATTCCAGTTCTCCAGTTTTGGGAACACAATCCAGATATATTGCAATAGCCCTAGTCAAATAAGTCATTGTACCATAAGCACCACTTGGTGCGCTGTCGTAAAAATGTTGGCAAATGTAAGCTGCTCCACCACACAATAAACCTCCAGTATTAGTAGTTTCGCGCTGATCTCTTGGTTTGGCGCAGCATAACGTCGCGTCTCCATCACAACTCATCTAAATTAAGCAAAAAGAGTTTGGTTTGTATTTGTATAACCAACAAACATGTTTCAATATTTATTTTGGAACGTGCCTCAACAGCCTCAAGAATTACATAGATTTCGCAGTGCAGCTATACGTTTTTAGTTTGGTTTCAACATTTAAGTTTAAATTGCAATATCGATCTGAATTAGGGATGGGACATCGATCCTATAACATCGATGGTAGCCATCTATGTTGACATTAAAAGGTAATACCGATGCTAGGGAAACATCGAAGTCTGATGCTTCATAGTCTGATGTTCTGTTAGTTTGCCGTTGCATGCAAATTTCAAATTGATTAACTTAAACTTAAATAATACACTTAAATAAGACACTATATTGTCCTCAACTGGTTAAACTGACGAAAGCAGCAGGTTATACATAATGGTATTGAGAAAAACGCCGCTTGAAGGCGAGTGTTCCAAACAGTGAACCCGGTTTTCTGATTTAGTTTCTTAGTTTTAGGGGAGAACAATTTTTAATATATTTTCCGTAATACCGAAATACCATCCACACCTCCAGATAAATACCCATTTTGCCCCGCCAATTTACAATCACCCTATATAAATATAAATGCATATTAAGAATACCATTGTCAACCGCAGTCAAACAACAAATGATAGTAACAACATATAAGCATTTTAAAGGATAGCAAACGACCCCTTATTTTACACAATTATTCCCTAGATTACTTGAAATGATAAATTAAAAACATTATTAAAAAAAAGTCATTACCTGGTCTGACAAAAAAAGTTCATTAGCTCTATGAACAAGATACTCGATTTGAATAGTTCCACCCAAAAACGGAGCAACATTATATTCTGCAACCAAAGTGAGCACCATCAAGGCCTCTACTATAAGTTGCCGGTATTCGGGTTGAGGTATTGTATTGAGAACGGTTTCGACTGCTAGAGCAAATTTTAGTTCGCCAGGTGTCATCTCTTGAGTCAAACATTGCGGCAGTACTTTTCCAGCGATATCAATACCATGACACTATATAGTATATAAATAATAAACAAAAACAAAAAAACGTTTTCGATATAGCATAATTTCATAGATGAAGAATTTATGGTGTTTAATACAAGAAAATTCGAGTGCTCCAATATATTTCAACTATTACATAAAGACATGTTTTCCACCCATAAACATTTTTTGTAGGTATATGAGTTCAAATGCAGAGTTCAGGGGAAAAACAAGGAAGGTCACTTTTCTATGAATTGCGGCTTACCGCGCCTTCTGTTAGTAAAAACTGAGGACTATCGACTGGATTAGACATACAGGGTAATAACAGAAAAGGTCAATATACCGGGTGTCAATTTGAAAACTTGTATATACGCTGGCTCTTATTTTAGCCGCAGACAGTTGACGAATTCAAAATAGCTGTTAGCGGTGTAAGGGTTAAAAACCTTTAATATATCAATGTGAACTAATATATTAAAAACATCATGTGTAAAAATTAAACAATCCTGCCAAGTAATTTTCACGTTGCACAAGAACTAAACATTTAATCTCCTTTATCTCAAAATGTATAAAATGTGACATTCCTCGTTTTTCCTTTGTACTCTTCAAATTTCGACAGAAAATAGGATAGTACTAAAGTGTCATAAAGAAACTTACACGTTCAAGTACAATCCATACCCTTGGATAGAAGTCTCTGGGCACTCTATTAAGAGCCCCATCGAGTCTTCTTCTTCTAAGCCATTGACCTTGTCGATCAGGTTCGATTAAATCATCAACCGGATCAGCAGCAAGACTAATATGACTTTTCTAGAAATACGATACTGTTTCAAATATTTCATATTACAAATAAATTATTTACAAATTAAAAAATATTCTTTGTTATGCGTAGATTCGGAATATAAATATACGACGGATCCAGACGCCACTGTGTTAGGGAGAGGACTGCGTACTACTCGCTTTTCCGAATTTCATATTGAACCAATTCAGATAATAATGAGATTTTTGTAGATAGTTCTGACAACTTAGATAAAAATATAACGTTTAGCAAGCATTATCAGCAAAGGAAATGTGACTGTTAAATCTGTATTCCCATACTTTGCTCTATCCAGCTTCGTTTCTTTAGTTTTATCATTAATATCAACTTTTTTCCAAACGCAGTTTTTTGTTATGCCACTACCAAGTAGGTTTGAAGTTTCGGGAATTTAATTGCAGGAACCAATTCAAAGTTGTCGATTAAAAATGTAAAAAGTCTGACGACAAATGTTTGTTTGCGTGGAAATATCCAGATTGAAAATCACAACTATTTGCAAAATATTCTACAAGGTGGATACCGATCTTTTCAACACAAAAACCTTCAAAAGTTCCACTCTCTACCATAAAAATTCATTTGGCACTTATGTATATTAACTTACTCCTAATTATCGAGTGGGTTATCTTACCTTGCTTATACGACTTGATTTGTTGCTCACAATTGAAAAGTTTCCGCGACCAACTGCAAGAAAAAAATTCGAACATATAAACATGAACCAACTAAAAAAATCCATATTTCTTATTACATTGATTACATTTAGAACTAACAACCGTTCCATTTAGGTACTCACCACTGCTAATGGCGAATTCCTTTCCACTTATGATATGGTATAAGAGATTCTTCATCTCAAAAGGGCTCAAGTTCAACAAATGTTCTGATGCTTCGTCCCCATCGCAAATTAAAGTTCTGGATAGTTCAGTAGCCATCACTTGAATAATAAGGCCGATTCGCAATCGCAACATTTCCATAAAGAGATGAGGCTCTGTTCGGATAAACATGGCAAGATAAACTAGTAATTCTTGTGTTAACATAGCAGTGCTGTCGTCTTGACCGTAGGCTTCATGGATTAATAATCTAAACGCAAATCCCAAGAAATTCTTCAAATAATATAATACGGAAATGAAAAAGTAACTTTATGTATCTTAATATTAACCTCAATTCGCTTTCTGGTAGAGGGGCCGTTATAGTATGCTCATTGTTTGGAGGCATTCCAACTGTGATCTGTTTCTGCCTTACTAACAGATCGGTTACAGATTTGGCTAAATCTTCCACTCGTTTGCCCAACATTCCCGCAGTATGTCTAACAAGGCCCCACATCTTTTGTTGGCACGCCTTTTCGTAAAGTCCTTTAATAAAATAATGTTCATGCCGATTATTATCCCGCGTATTTTCCAGTTGAATTTTAATTATTATAATCTTTATTCACAAATTGATTGAAAATACTGCTCAATTAAAAGCGATGCGTTTTAATCAGGAGAAAAGATGATAAAAATAAACTGAAAATTATAGCATTTTCCACAACAGATTATAACTTTACCAAATTACATAAAACAATAGTTTTGACCCCTTATTGCAAAACATTGCGTTTTTGCTGTTATTTTTTGCGCTGCGTTATCACTAGCTAAGCTCTTTAGGGAATTTCTGAATTTTAAGGACTTAAAGGAAAAGTCAAGGTGTAGTTATAATTTCTCAGTAATTCAAAGTATCAAATAATACAATAGGTATACGTAGTTCCAATGTTAAATGAAATGAAAAGCAATGTAACAAACGCATTTCATAAAATGCAATTATTAATTTAAAATGCACAAGTAGTACTAATACTGTCTCTGCATAATACAAATAATGCAACAAACAATACAAAAAATTATTTTATCTTATATAGAAATCAACAAAAAATAGCTCACCTTTGAGCAAATCTCTCACTGTAACAACTCGGCCATTCTCTAACATATCTGTATTGTAATCGAGTCCTTTTGACGCAACAAGAAACTGAAGGATGTCACCTTGTTCATCTAATGATTCCGACTCTCTTAGCATAGCAAATAGTTCGTCAACCTGATATAATGGACACTGAACACAAATTCTCATAACGTCGATTTTTCAAACCTCAGTATCCGCATACTGTTGGCTTTCACTTTGAGCTCTATGCCTTGACACGCTGATTATAGGCAATTCGATTTTCTTTTCGGGTGTAGGAACTTTGGGATTTTTTTCCAATGTAGGATATTTCACATCGCCAGTTCCACTGTCCGGTAAATCTGCACTAGCTGAAAAAAATATAGATCCCCGCCTTTCCAAAGTTTCGTTGCTTTCCATACCTAGCGTTTCAGCTGTAATAAAATATTTTATTTTACAATTCAATGCCGAGCATTTAATAATATTATGTATTATTAAATTCTCTAATTTAAGAAAGATGGATGTGAGGACTGACTTTCAGCAGTGGAAAAAGCAGTTTGAATTGTTTTTGAAAGCGCACTAAGTTTTTTGAGAATGTTCACTAGTCAATTAATGGGCATGCAATCGATGAGATAGTTGTTCTGTCAAGAGCATAAGTATTATAGGCATAAGATTGCAATCCCTTAGGGATCAGTCACCCTCTTAAAAATTATAATTACGCTTGAGATATTAATGAACTGATGTGAAAAATAGAATATAAAGTCGCCTATAAAAACCATTTAAAAATATTATTATTTAACATTATTTTTATATTGACGAGTTTTAAGAGACAGGTCTGGTTTTTCTCCTCCTTACTTTACTTAACGACCTATCCATGATTTGTAAGCCTTTCGTGCATGCGAAACTTCAAAAAGAAATTATTTTCCACGTTGACGCGAAAGTCCAAAAAACTCATCAATTTCAGACAATGGGCGCAAAAACCTAACTATTTTCATTGTACCTACGACTTAACGTATTACTTAGTTAACTTTAACGTTAAATTTATCACTTCTTGGTTAAGCAAATTGATCGTTAAATTTCTCGTTTGTTGGTTGACAAAACATTTTTAACATTCTTCCACCAACTTAGTAAGTATCATGATAAAGGAGGGCAGTTCTATGAATAATTAGAGATAGAAACAAAACTTCTTGCCTCGCAATGCAATGCTCAGTGCCTTTCAGAGGCCCCCGACTACGATTATATAAGGCTCGAGCTTCGCAATAAATTTAAAATTTTTATTGTGATTATTTTTTTATAGACTTACTACGATTTGAATACATTTACTTTTATTGATGAATTATTGAATGATTACAACTTAATTGAATACTTAGATTCTTAGCAGATTCTAAGATTCCATTCCCGTTTTATTTGTTTTGTTAAGTGGTTACTGTTTCTTGTCGGTTTTGCCCTTTTTTTCGTACTCGATTCTCCTTTAGGAAAAGTATGCCGCTAAATGTAATGGTGATTAATGAATTAAAGTAAAAGACTTACCCAAAAATGTATTGAAACTTCCACGTTAGCATTAATAAAAATAATCGGGATTATGTATTACATTGGACATTACTTTATTACACTGAATGAATAAATAATCTTAAACTAATGTCCGTACTAATGTCGAGAAATGTATTTTGCAAATACACAAATTATGATATACGAAATGTCTTTGAACATGCAGACAATCTCTGGGATCCATACATAATAAGATTACAATTACACACTCGACAAAATGTCCTTCTTTTTAAATAACTTTTATAGTACTCGGTGTAATTAAACATTATTATATACTTAAATTAATGAAAGAATACCCCTTAAGAACAACTTGACTTAATTTTTTCACGAAGTTCTATCAAAACGAGGAACAAACAGCAAAAAAAGTTTCAAATAGCGACAAAACTAAATATTATTTGATTGCAATAGAAAATAATTGGATTTAGGAAATATTCCATTGCCTAGTTTGGATTAGGATTGGTTAGGAACTGTTGATCTGAAATTATATTTGGAATAAAACCAGAGTGTTTGCCTGCCTATTCTGGTATATCTGATAACTTTTTTTTAACTTATTTTCCTGACTGCGTGTAATTGTTATTATAT